ATGCAGCATCCTGGGAATGCTGACGGGCTAATGCAGAACCAGAGGGACGGCGGGGGACACCACCGTTGGAGCCTTGGACTCTACTCTGGAGGTGTGAGCGTCTGGGCGTTCCCCCAAGTTTCGAGGCCAAACTCTCAGTGCTCTCCACGCCCCAAAGCTCTGACTCGGACCGAGTGAGTAAACATCAACCGGTTGCTCAGTGTTGATGTTGGAGGTTCATTCGATGGGAATTCAATGCTTTGATCTACTGAAAACAAACAGACTGATAACTGTTAATGAGAGAGTCTCACATCTCAGATATCAGCTAGACATCCGTCTCACTCGTCATGGCTCGCCCTGCCAAGCTTCGTGTTCCCGCGTGCCGAGCAAGTGCCTCATCTCTTGGCCATCTCTTGACAATCTCTTGGACTTTTTTTTTCTCCCGCCCAGAGGGACGCTCGCTGCTTGGCGCTGGCACAAATCCTCCGAGCAAACACGCACCCACCAACAAGTACTACTAGTCTGTTAGTCTGTGTGTCTGTTAATGGGGGGCAGCGTCACTTCATCAGGACTGGGGGGGCTGACGGGGGGCTGACCGGGGACGACGTCACTAGCTCGAGCAAGCTTTTCTGGTGGCGCATCTTCCGATGCTTGTCTTTGCTTGTCCTTTTTGGCATTTTTTGGCATTTTTGCTTGTCTCTTGTCGATCGTTGGCGTCGCCCCCGGGAACCCAATTGGCTCTTCAACGATATTGAGTCTTTCTAGGACTGAACCGGTGCCCGGCGGCGCCGCGGTCATAAGAAACGTTCGTCCTACTTGGCCCGCTAAAGGGTTTAGACTGGTCTTGCGGTGTCCAATGTCATCTCTTGAACGACATCTTTACGGGGATAGCAATAAGTTCGCCTCTTTATGAATACCCTACTGCAGATACTGGCAAGGTAGGCAAAAACCTAGCACGGCTGGGTACCTCCAACAGTCTTTCCGAGCCGCGAAGCCATCCGCCATCCAGTTCCCCTTTGAGAGAAGCGCCGCCTGTAGTTGGACCTCTTCCCCATATCCTGCAATGACGTGCTCCGCGAGCCTGGGCCGGATTCTGATCCCATTTTGGCGCCTTTGGTCCTCGATACCCTTTGAGAGGCTCTGAAATCTCTGACCGGGGCGGAACTCGAGTTCCACCCACGCACCGGGGAGACCCTTCTCCTCCCCTTGTTCCCCTCTGCATGCTTTCATGTTTCCTATCTGCATTGGCTGGTTTCCAACTGGAGGATGTCCGCCGGCGGGTATCGTAATCTCTGGCGAACGTTTTCGAGCAACTTTGCCATGGTCGAAACGAGTCGAGAGACTGGCAAAAAGTGACATGGCAATCCACCTGCGTTGTGGTGTCTCTTGAGGTATCGCCACCATCCTGGACAAGGCGGAATCCTACTGCTCTCTCTCTCTCACCCTCTCACGCTCTGTAGGGATAACACCATCCACACTCCCTTCTCTGTTGCTGCTTTCTGCGGATATGTCCTCGGTCTACTGCAGTCTCCTGCAAGTGGCATGCAACAAGTTCCTCCCATCGCTTCCTCCGGCCCAGTTTACACTCCTGGTTCGCAAGGAACCCGCGTCCGTAGGTAGCTCCAGCCCTTCTTCGGCCGTTCTCAACTTCCCATGTCACCTTGCCATGCCATGTCTCTTCCCAACTGCCGGGATCACACTGCTGACGCCTGGCCAAGCTGATCTCTTTTCCCCTTCACAAATAGCCCGTAGCTCTTTGCCTCTTCCTCCTTCTCCTCGTACCCTTAAACTCGCACGTCCCACGTGCTCGCGCATTCTCTCCGTCATCCTGTGCCTGGAGTCTGTTCCGATCTCTACCTCCCTCTTGTCTTCGTCCCTGCGCCTCGTCCCTCCTCCTCTTCTACACCTCCGTCTCTTCTCTTCTTCATCCGCCCTGCGCCTTTGAGCGGTCCGTGATCCGTCCCACCGTATCGTCACACCAGTATACCATTACGCCATTGCCATTGATATCATCACCTAACGGCATCGCGAAACCCCGTCGCCTCTACCCCTCCATTTCCCAGTGTCACCCGGCGCATCGCCGCGACTCAATTGGCGCGCCATGGATAAAGATCTTCGCCAACCCGAGCCCATGTCCAACGACAAGGGCTCCTCCGAGCTCGCCTTTGCCCGCGCCGATGCCGAGTCGGGCGGCTCCTCCGGCTTCAGCGCCTGGTTCGGCGGCCGCAACACAAAGGTCGGCCCGCGGATTGCGCCTCGCAAGGAGGGTGTCGGAGAGGGCTCCGACAGCGAAGACAGCGCCGATGCCATCTTGACCAAGCAGCTTGCGGAGGAGAATAGCCATGCGATCAAGTACAGGACGTGCAGCTGGCAGAAGACGGCCGGCCTGCTGTTTTCCGAGTATATTTGTCTGGTGAGTTTCGGTCATCGGGGACATTTGGCGCGTGGCGCATCGTGCTGACCGACAAAAGGCCATCATGAGTTTCCCGTGGTCGTATAGTATTCTGGGACTGGTGCCCGGCTTAATCCTCACTGCCGTCATCGCGCTCATTGTGCTCTACACGTAAGTTTCGACACCCTCGCCCAACTCGCCTCGACATAGTACTGACTGACCATGTAGATCTTTGGTCCTTTGGCAATTCTGCATGAGACACCCCGAAGTTCGCGACGTCTGCGATATCGGTCAAATGCTCTTCTGGGGAAAGACGTGGGCATGGTACGCTACGGCTGTCATGTTCATTCTGAACAACACTGTAGGCCTCTTATTCCCGTCGCCGAACATGGGCGCATTGCTAACACTATGCACGTAGTTCATTCAGGCTCTACACGTCCTCGTCGGCGCCAAGTACCTCAACACAATGACCGAATCCGACCCCGTTGTCTGCAGAACAGTCGTCTTCTCCATCGTCGTCACCATTATCTGCTGGCTTTGCTCGCTGCCCCGCACTTTCGACGCGCTTTCAAAAGCCGGAACCGCCTCCGCAGCCTTTACCTTCATCTCGGTGCTTCTGGCGACCATCTTTGCCGGCATTCAGGCGCATCCCGCCGGCTACGATCCCCGATCAACGTATGTCGACGAGACTACAGGCACAACAAAGACTGGCGGCGCCCCGATCGTCACGGCCATTCCCATTGCTGCCACGACCTTTGTCTCGGGAATGAATGCCTTCCTGAACATTAGCTACACTTTCATCGGCCAAATTACGTTGCCCAGTTTCATTGCGGAGATGAAGGACCCGAGGTAAGTCTACCACCATACTGTCTTGAACGTGTATGCTGAGAAAGGTCTAGGGACTTCCCCAAGGCCCTCTGGGCTGTCACCATTGGCGAGATCATCGTCTTCAGCATTGTCGGAGCTGTTGTCTATGCCTTCGTCGGAAACCAATACATGACTGCTCCCGCCTTCGGGTCCCTCGAGGAAGTCTACAAGAAGGTGTCCTTCTCCTTCATGATCCCGACTCTCGTCTTCCTCGGCGTCTTGTATGCCAGCGTTTCGGCCAGATTCCTCTTCTTCCGTCTCTTCAAGGGCACCAAGCACTTGCACGAGCACACCGTCGTCGGCTGGGGTTCTTGGGCCACAATTCTCCTTGCCTTGTGGCTTTTGGCATTCTTGATTGCCGAACTTATCCCCTTCTTCTCTTCCCGTGAGTTTTACTGAATCGATGACACAAGAGCTTCGCTAATTAAGTCTAGTGCTTTCACTCATGTCCTCCCTGTTCGATTCATTCTTCGGCTTCATCTTCTGGGGCGTTGCCTACTTCCGCATGCGAGGCGCCGATAACCGCGCCGGCGTCCCCAAGCCTGGAAAGCTTGCCGATCTTGCGACGATGGGTCTCAACATCATCATTATTCTCACCGGTCTTCTGTTCCTCACTGCCGGCACATACGCCAGTGTTGAAGGCATCATTGAAGAGTTTAGAGCGGGCACCGTCGGCAAGCCTTTTGGCTGTGCTAGCAACGGACTTTGAACCGGGCCAAGGTCCGTTGTGTTTGTGCTGTTGTAAAGATTGCCACATGACTTGAAGCGTCGCTACATGCTCATAATCAGTATCATCGGAGGTAGAGGAGAACCAAAGCAACGATACCATAGTGTTTATTACCACGTACTTTTGGCTATGAATAGACCAAGACGCAATTCCATGATCCATTTGTCGATCTCTCTTCGGCGATTTCGTCAACAGAAAATCCAGGCATCGTATAATCCATCCGATTCCACACCAGGAAGACGACGGTGCTCTTGGGGACCATCTTGGACACAATCTCGTTGGCGTACTTTGCCTCGCCTTGAAGGTGCTTCTTGAACAACTCCCACAACTCGCTGCCGATAGGGCCTCGTCCTTGTCGTATGAGTCTGACATCACCATCTAATGATCATCTTAGTTGAAAGGGTCTTCTGAGGTTCCCAGACCCAATCCCACATATAGCAAGATTCTAGTCGTACATCGTCCATACAATCCAGATCGGAGTTTTGCCTCAAGGGAGTTGGTAGATTATTAACATGGATGGTTTTGTGATGAAAAACACACCACCATCCCCAGCTCGTCGTCTCTTGAAGCAAACATGAATAATTCCAAGCCCGAGCTCCAAAATTCTCGGTCGAATTAGATCAACGTGGTCGGACGGTCCGCCCCGAATAAGAGCACGAAGGTTTACAACGAACCCGGGGAGCATAAGCCGCCAGACATGGTTGGATGGAATTTCACATTGGACGATTCGCCATACTTTGCCTGAAATGCTTTTACTTCCCATCCCACACTTTCACGTTCGGCTACTCACAGCTCCGTGGAGAAATGTAAACAAGCTATAGGCATCGGCAAAGCTAATTGCCCAGGCTTTTGTGCGTCCACCTTCCGTCTACTTCTTTATCTGTTTTCTGCGCGCATGTGAGAATCAGATCAAAACATCTGTCGTCAACTGTCTTCTCGCTCCAACTTTTCTCCTTGGTCCATCGTACCAGCCAGCAATTCAGCCCCTTTCCAAGTACTCTTCAAGTCTTCGTACTGAGGAGGATTTTCTTGAAAATGGATTCCACCACTCTTCCACTACACTGGTTCCCGCAACTACTGAGCCTGCTGACCCCTTACTCAGCGTTGGCTGTTGTGGTAGTTCTCGTCACAATCCTGCCGATGGTCATGGACCGAGCCACCGCGGAGATACCCATACCCAAAATCACCAGCTCAAGGTCATGGTTCGCCAGCAGGCAGGACTTCGCCGCCAATGGCGTTGAAATCATTGAGAAGGGCTTCAAGCAGGTGAAGAGTGGTGTATTCCGGGTGACGGCTCTCAATGGCTCCGATTTGGTTCTGATCGCACCGGAACATTGGCTCGCGATCTGCAACAAGAAAGACGAGGAGGTTGCGCCCGCTCGTAAGGAGGTTTGTGCACGAAGAAGCGACTATGGAGCTGATTGTGGCTGAATCTGTCCAGTTCTTCTTGTGCGACTTACACGGCGCACCATTCGAGGAGCCCTTCCTCTATCGCTACCTTGCCTCGCGCATGCCAGGGTTCGGTGCGTCTCATATTAACTTGAGGTACTCTCGTGATTGCGGTCGCTGTAAACTAATGAAATCTTACAACGGAAGATCGTTATCTCGATGTCATATCCACGGCACTGGATGAGGGTATATGCAGTGTTTTCAGTCAGCGATCTCATACTCCAGAAGGGGGTAAGCTTCTCGACCGCTTGACTTCTATTCACACCCTTCTTGACTCTTGAAACAAGAGCTTTGCTAACGCTAGTTGTCCAAAGCACCTAAGCGTGTCATTATACAACCGCAAATCCTGCACATTTACTCGCATGTTATATGGAGGGTCATTTTAGGTGACAATTTCAAGCCCGAGGTGGTCGATATCTTCGAAACGTACTCTTCAACACTCATATCCGTGATGAAAGCACTGAAGGCCAAACGACCCATGATGGCCCGAATTTCTGCCGCCTTTTCGAAGGACGTTCGTCAAGTCAATGCGCAGCTTGAACGAGCCTCGGTATTCTTCGCACCTCTTTTCGAGCAATGTGTACAGGCGCTAGAGCAAGGCCTTGCGAAGACCTCGATAGACAATGAGTGGCTTGAGCAGCTGGTCCGCATGGCGCCGGCTAAGAGGAGACGCGACTACAAGTACCTCACCAACATCTTGATTGGCTTCGCTTTTACGTTCGTCTTCTCTCCTGGATCGTCGACTACGCAAGTTGTGTACGAGTTCGCATTCCGCCCCGACTACGTTGACCTCGTGCTCAAGGAGGCATATGATGTACTTGGAGAACGTCCTGAGCATTGGGGCTTCTCACAAGACAATCTTCACAGCCTTTCCTTGCTCGATAGCTTTTGCAAGGAGACCCATAAACACCATCCAACGGCAGCCTGTGAGTCTTCAAACTTGGCATCATTTGACACTTCCCCGTTCATCACTGCTTTCTCCAAACGATATGCTTAGAGCATAGCGGTGACGATCAGCTTACTGACTCTCATTCTGATATCCTAGCCAATCTGATGAGAAAGATCCACAAGACTCAGACACTTCCCAACGGGGTGGTCCTACCAGCAGGCACGATATTCGAGGTGGTAATGACGGCTGCTCACCTATCTAATCCTAAACTCGAAGATCCCTCGAAGTGGAACGGACGCCGGTACCATGACCTGCGGCAGGAGATGACAACATCAATTGGCGCCAACAAATATGATTGGGGCTCGGCGACAAAGGACGATATGAACTTTGGTTATGCCTCACATATGTGCCCTGGTCGTTGGGCCGGGTGCTCCACTGCCAAGATGTTGCTCATCAAGCTCTTGGCTTATTATCAAATCAGTCCCGAGGAAGGCGAGACTGAGAAATATCGGGACCTTCACTCTGGCCAATATGTATGTGCCTCCCATTCGACTATTCTTGAGCCCAAATAGTCTATAATCCTCGGGTTTCATCCCGAACCACTGACAAGAACCCCAGATTTCACCAAACCCGACCAAGCATATTCTTCTCAGGCCGAGAGTGCGGCGATGAAGGGTGCACCTGACAATGATTTCAACGAGGAAACCAAGCGGCTTATAGTCTGATCCGAGGTTGAAGAGATGATAACTATTGACTCTCTGCTGCAATCATGGATGCACTATGACAGCTCCTAATGGACATAAGTACAGCTTCAGACAGGAAACTCAGTGCAGATGTCTTCTAAGTCCCCAATCAAACATATCCGACTTGGCCGAGAGCAGCGTTCCCATCATGACTCGTGTACGGAAGTGCCAAGATCTGCGATGAGATTCCTTCACGAGTACGGAGTATTTTTCTACTGAATCAAAGCTGCTTGCTTTTCTCAGCACGCGACTAAACTCTCGATGTTGACTTGCACATGTCAAACTAAAAAAGTAATCCAACTCTACTAGAACTTAACCCATCCGAGCTTTCCAAACATCTGGTTGCTCGAGTTTGCTGATCAGCCCGGGGCAGATAATGCGGAGAAATGACGCAAGTACTAGGATTACTCACCTTGTCCCTGCAGATCTCCAACTCCAAGGCCGCAATATCAGATGACTTTGGCTGAAACACAAGTGACGTTCCCGTAGCCCAAGCACCGCCGCGTTCTCAACGCTCCAGCCTCTGGAGCCATTAGGTCTGATTTCTTCGAACACGCCACAAATAAGCTTGAAAACACCTCAAAGAACCTCATCACCTGAGACAATCTCCTGATAAACTTGGCAATCCATTCGAAAGGCTTGAAAACATGTCTAACCGAACCATTTGCGATGTCGACACCCCGGACCCTTGGATCGTTGCCGGCAACGGCAAGTTCTACTTCACCTTTACCCTCGACAACCGCATCGAAATATGGTGCTCCAATACCCTTGAGAACTTTCACCACTGTCACAAGAGTGTCGTTTGGCAACCGGCGCCGGGGACTCCGTGGTCGGTTAACATCTGGGCACCGGAGTTGCACTACCTCAAGGGCCGGTGGTATATCTACACCTGCGGCGCGCCGCCCGGAGTCGGGAACCCGGGCCATCGGACCACGGTCCTCCGATCCTCGTCCCAGGATCCGATGGATGCCTCCGCATGGGAGTTTCTAGGTCCGTTGAAGGGCATGCCGGATCACTGGTCCATCGACGCCACCGTCTTTAGTCCCAACGGGCATGATTTGTATTGCTGCTGGTCCGGATGGCCTCTGGGAGATAATTCCGACACGCAGCAGGACCTGTTCTTGATTAAGCTTCGTGTCCCGGAAGAAGCCATCGCAGACACACTCCTTTGTATTTCAAGGGCTGAGCTATCGTGGGAGCGTCCCGATGAGGGTCGCCGGGGCGTGAACGAGGGCCCGACATGGGTTGATATTCCTGGTGTCTTCAGAGGCATTGTGTACTCCGCCGACGGAAGCTGGACTAGCGACTACAAGCTCGGCCTCCTGCCGCTCGTAGGACAGAACCCTCTGGATCCAGGCGCATGGGCTAAGCGATCGACACCGCTTATGGTCAGTCACAAGCGCTGCGGAGGTCCGTATGGGCCGGGGCATGCAAGTTTCTTGCCAAATCCACATGATCGAAGCCGTATCTACTGCATCTATCATGCGACGGCGAATTATGGTGAGGGGTGGGCCAATCGGAAGGCAAGGATAATTGATCTTGGGCCAGAGTGCTTCGGGCCTCATGCTCACTCCATATGCTGCGCGCTGGAACGTCATATTCCGAAGCATGGTCACGACAGACCGCATAAGTCTTCATGTATCATGTCCTAGTGTTCTATGTCTATATGCGAGAAAATATCTGTTCTACGTCCTTCAAATACAACCTCATCAACTTATTTCTTCTAGACGGTGAAGTCTGACGGCAACTTCAGGACTGATAATCCCAAATGTTGTTGCGATCCATGGATATCATTCTCCATAAAACTGCCGGCTGAAGCTTTCTTTCCCCCTCTGAACCGAGGTATTGTTACCTTGAATGCTAGAGCCGGTTCAAAAAATCCAGCCCAAACAATGTCACTCTCAGAAATGCCTAGAGCCTCGGCGACATTGATGGGGGATAGTAATTCTGACTCTCGAATCGCTCTGAAGATGCTTTCGGACTCGAAGATGACGTCCATTGTGATCTCGTAAGGCCCCGCGTTCTTTGAACGAAGGACTCGGGAGATGTCTGAAAGGGTTTTCGGGTGACCGGCGATGTTCTTTGGACTTGAAGGAGAATCCTGCGGGCTCGCGTGGGCTCTCTTGTCCTTCGTAATGGGCCCACCTATCGACTCAGACTCAGTGTCCGCCGAGGGAGGCCGGTTACTTTTCACTGCCTGGCCCTTTCCAAATGTGGAAACTGAAGAGCGAAGGAGGCCTGTTTCTTCCTGGCTTTCTGATACAATCGAGAGCCTTTCTTCGCCCGGCTTGAGATCGATGAGATGGTATACCGAGAACTGGGCACATGGCCCGGTCTCGATCTCTAATTTCCCGGCAATCCCGAAAGCAAAGTTACCAGATGTAGCCTTTTGGCCTGCGTAAGGACCATGCTAAATTGCTGTTAGAAAGTACTGGGACTGTGCGATGGAGCCATCCTTACAATCAATGCAATTCTCGCGGTCGATACGAGACCTGTCGCAAGTTCTTGTGTTGGGGCAATTGCTTCCGCGACGATGAAAATCTCCCCAGGACCGGTAGGCGTACTCTGCCCTTTGCCATATGTGTGGAAGTCTAGATCCCAGTCACCGGAAACATCTTTATGTTGCTGCTTAACGTAGGCTTTGACAAGAATGAGCAAGTCGTCCAATTGCTCAATGAGAATATCTGCTCGTTGTCAGTCTCGCAAGCCTATTGAATATGGGCAACAACTCCTCTGGATCCAATGTCAACTTACGATCTTTGACACTTCCGAGAACAATAGATCTATATCCAAGAAGGCGCGCAGCTTCTAGCTTGAACTGATACGGTTTGCCATCGGCGATTGATGAAACAAAGCGCGCCCCACGTGCCCGGACGGTACGCTGATCACTGAGCTGCTCATAGTGTGCCTGGTCGAGATGAAGAGCACCTCCGGGCCCTCGCAGGATATCAGGCCTCGTGTTCTCATACAACGAATGCGCGGCTACCGACAGCGGCGTGCAAGCTGATCCGGGTGCGATTGGTCTGACATCGAACATGCCACTTTCGTAGACGGTGGCAACAGCGCCGTGGGACTTGGGTGTCGAACATAGCCCTCCACACTCCATGATCTTGCCCATGTGCAGGAAACCGCCGTGTCTTGACTCGATTTGGTCGTGAGTAATGCCTGGGTTCTGACGTTTGAGCTGGTACATGGAGTATGCAACATAAGGAGCGGGATCGTATGCCCTTCCGCCGATGATGATATCGAAGTCGGGTGTGGCTTCCATAGCATCAATAAACGCCTCGGGGCCTATTTGTGCCACCACGCGAGTTGAATCTTTAACATCCTTGGACGTTAACGGGGGCACACAAACACCACAACCAGAGACCCCGCCAACATCGAGTCGTTCGAGAATGACGGACTTGTCGATGCCAGAAAAGATTGAGACAGTTTTGAACAAATATTGTCTTGTTCGGTTAGCCAAGAATTGAAGACTGGGGTCAGGCAGAACTCACGAATCGTTTTCTTCTGCACAAATTTCTTCTATGATTTCTTCCATCAATCTTACGTGTTCATTGGAGCCATCTCCTCCAGCAGAGCCGAAGACCAATGGAACCCGAAAGTCATGTACGAGCTTCAGCAACTTGGTCAAGTCTCTGACGTAGGCTGAACGGGGGCAAGTCATGGTGCCAAGAGCCAGTTTCTCGGGGCCACTATCAGTTGATCCGGCGTCTAGGATAATAGCCGTTGGAATGCCGCTGGGAACGAGTTGGGCGAGTTCCTTGCCGCAAGCATCCTCGTCAAGGCCGTAACCCATGCACCCAACTGGTGTAACAATGTAGCAGAGAGGGTGTGGACCCATGCTGGTAGACTCTTCAGACGCAGAACTCATGGTGAGGGTGTGGTGGTTGTCGGTTGCTTCAACAAATATCGAAATGTTGAAATGTATGAGTGTTTTTTTGATATTAGGTCTCTCTTTAAGACAAGAGAACGATGTTTAATGTTACTAAGACCAGCTCTTAAATTAGATGTAAGTCTGATCAAGGCATGAAATCTCGTCGACCAAGGCGTTGAATCCTGATCTAACCCTCTCACCCCTCGGTGATCCGGGAATATGGATATTCTCCGTCAACGCCAGCGGGACGTATGTTGTGTCCTACGGGCATGTGAGGAGAGGATAAGATTACGACGCATTTGTCTCGATGCATCTGTCTGATCGAATGTGTTCGCGTACGTTTGGGACCGTAGTCAATATGTATGTGGCTTAGACGAGCTCCCCGTTTCCGTGTCCGTAGGGGCTGGTGGTGCAGATTGGCGCATACAGAGCTTCCAATCAGAGTAACACCGTTGGCTCGAGCCTAGAAGGATCGAAGAATAACGGCAGCTAACAAACATGTGGACCTTGGAAGTTGGATCTGAGATTCTAGTCCGTTCCCGTTCCCGTACCCGTCGGAAGAAGTGCACATTACGCAACGGTCCAGCATGGCAGCGGCAGAGGAACGCGCCAGTTGCTGCGCCGCGCTGTCGCACGCCCCCGCATCCTCTTAGAATGCCACAATGCTTATTTCCTTATGCGGACGACGCCTGAATGGGCGTACTTGGATATCTGGACCACTACTCGAAAGATCCGAGTCTCTAGGTGCAAGCTGGTAGAGTCAAGAGCGTTATCAACTCCATCTTGGCGATCGTAGATGATTCCGTTGGGGACTTCGTTGTCGCTGACCCGTGTTGCTGCGCCTTGGCATCTTCTAGTCTTCAATCCTTCACAGCAATGCCACCGCAATGTTTGTTGAGAATGGTTTATCAGAATGCACACGTTGAAGATGGACATATTGGCGCACAAAGAA